GGTATGACGTCTGAAAATGATGCAAATTCAAAAGTTCCATGATTTGTTCAGGAAAAAAAAGATTATATGAAGTAGGTCTTTTGAGTAAAAGTCACCGAGTGCAGGTCTGTTGCTCAATATTTTGATAAAATATGTAGAATAATAATCTCATTGAAATATATAAACATTATTCTAAAGCAGGTCTGTGCTCTTTTAAATTTCATAGTACTTATTGAACAATTTGTCTATTTTTTCTCTTTCTGAAAAATAACATAAAATCTTAATTGTTTGTGACGTCATAGAAACAGAAATTGTCAATCATTTAACCTACTTTGAAACTATAATATTTTTTGTTAATTTAGATTTCTTGTAAAATACAAACAATTCGGCACATTTAAAGACGTTTTTAAAATATGACTGTTGTAGAGGCAAAACAATGTTCATGTATATTACACATCTAGTTTTTTAATAAGTTTACAGTATGCAAAGAATAATTCTAGATCTATTACTTGGTGATATGCATATCGCTTGAATTATCTTCAAAATATATCTAAAATATATGAAGAAGATAAAGACAATAATAACTTACATGCCATTCGTATATAGTTACGGCGATACCAGAGCCTGCGGCAGAACCAGCCAGCCCAATGAACATCGGAGCTCCTATGTTACTGGCATAGATAGAGGCCCCAATCTAACCGGCGCACCAGAAACAAACAACATCAGGCATAAATAATAATTACAACATTTGTGAAGCAAAAAAAACATTATACATTCATTGCATGATAGTGAGGGAAATATTAAGATTTATTCGGCCAAGAAAAATCATATTCTGCGATCAAATAATCAGCAATTTTGTGACGTAAACCAGGCTATTGCGACGTCAACTACTCTCAGGAGTTTTCGTTCAATGATACCTCTATTGCGGGAAAATACACTAGGTGTTCCGAAGAGGTGGAATATGATGAAAAGCTTGCCGACGAGCGTGAATATGTTACAGTTATTGAACAATTATTTTGGGTATCACGATATATTCTGATGGGTGGTGACCAGTTCGCGCTAGCGAACGAGTTCACACCCATCAGAATATCACGTGATACCCAAAATAATTGTTCAATAAGGAACTTGTATCATGTCAATCATTGGTCACATTGTATTTTGTCAACGCACCGCCCAGATTGTCAAACTGCTTTCGCGCCAGCATCATTACCGCGCAGTCTTGCAGAGCGTCAAGATGGAGGTAAACGAGTGTCCCGCATCAGAATATTTACCAAATGAATTGCCAGACCCGTTCGACATTTTTTAATCGGATATAGATGACGTAACATTGTCCCAAGTCTGTGAACAGTTAGAAAAAGAAAATGACGTGTTTGAAGGTTTTCCGAAGTTGTTTATGTCTCAGACAATGCATGAATATGGACTAACCACGCCAAACGATATATCCAACGACATGGATATTATGTCTTCAGAATACACAGATACTGGAAACTTTGATCTGGATTTTCCTGATTCGAAGGCTTTTGTGAAGGAATCTGCGGCAAGTAACCGTTTTATTACACCCCTGTCAGAGACTGAAACTAAAGATTTAATAGAGTCCCATGAAAATCGCAATACCAAGAAGAACACAGCCTGGGCGTTCCGGGTTTTTGAGTCTTGGCGCTCACATAGAAATGATTCCGGCGAAATTGTGAAAGCATTACATAAAATGACAACTGAAGAGATGAATTACTATCTTGGACGATTTATCGTTGAAACTAGAAAACAGGATGGACAGCCGTACCCCCCTCGCTCACTGTACCTCATTGCTTGTGGACTTTTACGACACCTGCAAGACATGAAAGTGTATGACAAAAACTTTCTGTGCACCAAAACTTTGGAGTTTTCTGAATTCCGAAAAATACTTGATGCCAGAATGAAAGAGCTGCTACAAATGGGATATGGTACCAAGGTAAGATAAACAATATGCTGTTAATGATCTAGATTTACGCGGACTCAGGGTCTAGGGGAATATAAATCTGTCACTAAGGTATTTATTCCAGACTCAAATGATATCTTGATATTTGTAAACAGCGTCAATGTTGATAATGTTTCAATTTAAATCCGATATCCTCGCCTGTTTTCATATGGGTTGATGTACGATCGTATAATTAGATTTCTCGTAATTTTTAGTCTACTTGTGAATAAGAACTGTCAAGAACAACCTGAAAAATGATCTATTTTCATGTTTATGCTAGTGATTTATTTTTTATTACTTCTTCAATTGCACTAAAGGTCAAGCAGGCACAGGCCATTTTACCGGAAGACGAGGAAGTGCTTTGGGAGAAAGGCGTCTTTGGAAACTCAAATGCGGAGGCATTACAGAGTACTGTGTTCTTTTATGCATGTAAGCTATTTGCCCTGAGAGGTCACGACGAGCACCACCAGCTGCAGTGTGATCAGTTTTCAACTGGAGAGGATCAAGGTGGGACTTACGTCGAGTTCTTAGGTCGTAGCACAAAGACGTACAAAGGAGGACTCAAGGAGCTGGAGATAGTGAACAAAAACATTCGTCATTACTGTCAGAATTGTAAGTCTCTCTCTCTCTCTCTCTCTCTCTCTCTCTCTCTCTCTCTCTCTCTTTTAAAACATTTCAGTAAGAATTTGCTGGTTAATACTCATGTTAATCTGACTACAATAGTTTCTGAAAGGTGATTTTTATTCTGAAAACTTCTAATTACAGACGAGCGGAATGTGGCCTATTTCGTTAGACAGTATATCGAGGCATTGTGGGGAAGAGGCGCATTTTACAGACGGTCCCTTCATGGATACCCTATTCGTTATGGAGAACAACCGATTGGTATCAATAAGTTGAAGAATTTTATGAAGATCATTTGTGAGCGTGGTGGTCTTAAGGGTAATTACACAAATCACAGTGGAAAACGAAGTTGTGCAACACAACTTTACATGGCTGGAGTTGACGAACAGGAAATCATGGCAAGGACGGGGCACCGATCTTAAAAAAGTGTGTGCAAGTATAAGCAATCTTCCGCAAGTATCCAACAAAAGGTAGCTGCTGTTCTAGATCCGCCTCCCACAGGTAGCTCGGGGATAAAATCGCAGAAGCGTGATGGAGAAATGGATGATGTTGAAAACCGCGGTGATGCATGCGAATTTAAGAAATTCAAAAAGGAAATATCTGACGAGAAGCTTGATTCAGGACGTACCAGTGTTTTGCGTGAAATCTCCTCTGATCGCCCCATTTTCAATAACTGCAATATTTCTTTTAATTTAAAGTAAGAGGATTTATTTCCGCGGTGCTGCATGTGAGCTATGCATGTGTAAAAACTGTTCGTTTTGTTTTCTTTTTTGACCTGTTTATGTGTTCAAACTTTGAAGGTTGTAAATTCTCTATTTGTTAAACTTTGGCTTGGGCCATAAATTCTGTATGTTTTTTTTCGAAGCAGTTTTAATTTCTAGAATGTTCGTGTTAGCATAAAATAAAAACATTGTTTGACACGTGTTGTTTTCGTTCTTCTGAAATATACATGATACCGCATGGCCTTGGCTCCGCCTTCTCAATGGTATCAAGATTTAATGCACAGCGATCTTCAAAGGAAAAACACCGCAACCATGATACAAGAAGTTTTATGGCACGGTCACGTGATAAACTAGAACCAATCAGATAATGTGTTGTATAGAAAAATTATAATGAGTTATAATAATATATTTTACGTTATCATTGAAAAGAAAAACACAAACTATCTACACAAAAAATGACACATAACAAGAAATGAAACTACTGGAAATTGTTATAACTTTGAATAGTCATTTTTTGAATTTTAAATAAAACATTCAGCATTAACACAGCAGGTTAGATATCCAGTGAATGCAGCATTATAGATGATGCAAAAATCATCATATAAGCGGTAACAACTGCCTGCAGGATTAATATCGTAAAATTAGTTCATACTGGTATCCAGTGCATGCTTTTCCCAGCAAGAAAGTAACCCTTGGCATTACCCTTGTTCGGTCTAAATGTCGACTGAAATAAAAGAACACCCATTTTACATTGTTTGGAATTTTGTTTCTACTCTAATTTGTAACGGAATTTTAATGTTGATAAGAAAACATTTGCTTAGTTCTCTTCTCTTACAATATAGATTAATAAGAAAGTAAATGTTACCATACCCATAATCCGACGGCTAGAACAATAACAAAGTAGACCCCGAGAGTAGCATAGTCCTCTAAGAACAGTTTTTCTGCCATGATCTTATCTTTCTAAAAATTAAAAAAAATAGTAAAGTGAAAAACCGGCATAATTATCGGTGTTCTGACTAATGTTGACTTTTTTCGTTCTCCGTAATTTTTTATCTATGGTGTATATTCTATTCTCAACAAGCCTTTACCTACCCAACAATTATTTGTACATTTAAATCATAAACCCCGCAGAGAATGTGATCGATCTGATGAATTCTGTGTGACCTAACACTCAAAGTCTGACAACAGATGTGGAATATTATTTGATACACCTATTTAGACTTTGTACATAATAATTTTATGTTTTAATAAATAATTTATTTCACATTTTCCCCTGAATATACCCACAAGAATTAAAGATCAAAAGGATATCGAACAATGTACATTTTAGAAATGAATTACATTTGCATTTTAAAATATCAATTTATTATGCTTCCTGTCAGTTTGTCTCTCTATAACACATACCCAGATATATCACATAGTGTTCTAAGGATTTATATAGCGTAAGCATACTGTGCCGAAATAGTGCACTGCTTTCATTTCTAAAGTAATTCCGACATCACCAATGCCGGGAATCGATCTCGAGATTGTCAGTCCGACGCATTTCCGATTACGCCACAGACGTCTCTATCTATAACATTGTACGATAATCTATAAAAACTTAGTTTGAATCATTTTACACTTAATATGAAAAAAAAACACAAACAAAGGGACGTTTCTAGCAGTGCTATGTGCCTTTTGTGACCAAAAACTTGCATGAATCAGCCTAATGTCGGATCGTGCCGATATATTATCCTGCAGGAATAAAGTATGAAACATGTAACAGTTAAAACATGAAGAAAACCGTTAATGAAAATATGGGTGAGTTGTGTGCGATCGACGGATTAGGGTTAGAGTATATAAAGCTAAGAGATCGTAACTGTTTTCTCAATCACTTTGAGTCAGTTCATGAAATTTTTGCTCACAGAGAGCAGAAGAGGTTTATGAAGGAAAGTTCGGAAGAATCAATCTAGAAATAATGTCGAAACATGACCGATTTTGGCGTTTAGTTTAGGCAAGTTATTGTAAGAGCCTTCTTATGTCCATATTCAGAATATTTTTCCTTTCAAATCGATTATCATGCACAATTCGATCAATCAATGACTAGTAATTAACTAACATTTGTTAAATCTCTGTATTTTTCACAAAATTCTAATAATTTTACTAGCATTGTACTTTAAGTCCTATCAGGTATTTCTTCATTACGTCAAAACACAAGTGACGCACCTCATGAATATTTATGAGATTACGTCAAAAATTGATCATGTGACCACATTCCTATAAACAACGGACAAGTACGTAACTTTATGAAATGTTTCAATTCTCATTAAAAAAAACTGTTCAAAAACCAGTTTTGTCATTTTTTAATTCTCAGTTAAAAAAGTGAATTCAAAAACTAATTTTGTAAACATAATCTTTCACAAAGAACACGAATTTGAGGCCAATTTTGCAAAATGGGGCTTCTTTTCTGATTTTTCCGATCGTATATATATTGTACACCGCCTTTGCTGACACCTATGTGTGCGCCATATTTACAGTGACGGGTATACTAGAAGTACTCCATACATTATACCTAAAGTAAGAAACATTCAAAATCAAAGAAATAAATTATGACCTTCATGTAGCACAAGGTGACATGTAATAGGATAAATGAATGTAATATTATATATGTAGATAGATGAATGTAATATATGTTATATTTACATCAGTGTAAATTTCTTTATAAAATCCATAAGAAATCCACGGCGTTCAATCTCTATAACACACACGAAACTTTGTCGCTGTGACAAGGTTTCGTGTATGTTATAAAATACATAACAGGAACTATTTGCATTGTTATAGAATACATAACAGGAACTATTTGCATTTTCAATACTCCAGGAACACTAACACAAACATTGCTTAGACACAATTTAATAAAAAGAAATCCCTGTTTAATTAAATTGAAAAAAAACCAAACGTGCATTTACAATTAATTTGTCACATCTTCCCTCGCAATGTTCGTTTGCGTTATTTATCTTTTCCGTCTATGAAGCAGACCAGTTTTGAAGGGCGCATTAAAGATTCCAAAAAAAAACAATTATGAAGAAGAAATATTAGAGAATGTAAATATAAGCACTGATTTTACATTTTTGGATGTCTTCGGTCTTATACCACACCTGGCCGTGCCGACAAATTGGTGTGTTTTAGGACTGAAGACATCCCAAAATATGAACTCAGTGCTCAAATGAAACACTGGAAATGAAGTAAATATTGTCGTTTTTATGCAAGAGTCAGCATAATAATAACAATAGTGCTGTACTTTGCATGCATTATGCCTAAATAGTAGTCAGGGTTTGAAACTTAATGCACTCCGGCTCGTGCACCATGTGTCAAACCCTGAATACTATTTAAACATAGTGCATGCAAAGTACGACACTATTATATAAATATAAAAAGCACCCGTATATCTTGTTCCTTTCTTATAATACCCCGAGGGAAACCTACGATAATCAACATAATCAGACTATTGTTTTTGTGATTCATATAACACATGTATAAAATTAGGAGGTAAACAAAACAATTATATTAAAACTATAATAGAATAACAGAAATATTTTATTAATAGGAAAATTCTTTATTAATTGATTATTTTGCATATTTATTTAATCAAATACATTATCCTAAGCATTCTTATTCCTTAATCTGTTTTCAATCTTCCAACTTTCAAACTTCAATCTGTTTTTCTTAATTCTACTGTACCTATTACATGCATGGTTTGACATTACCTATTAGCAAAATGATCAATTAATAAAATACATGATATTGACATGCCTCGTGACGAAATGCTCTTAAATTTTTGTATACTTTAAACAAAAAAATCAAAAGCTGTGTCTTGAGCAATTTGTTTCAAATTCCTATGTGATTCTAATACTAGCAATAGTCAATATCTACTGCTATGATAAATTATATATTTACATAGACACAGTAACTACACTGGTTACTATTTCAGCTCACTTTAATTTGCATTGTTATTTTTCAAGTTACTGGAAACTTTATTATGTTAAGACTATATGCCTACTCTGGGCTAAAAATGTTATCAAAATAACCATAACATTTAATTAATTAATGCAAAAATATATGTAATATAAATTTCTAATCATTTCATCATCAAAAAATGAGTCCTTTAATAGCTTAAACCAACCAACTGATTTAATCTTGAAGACAATCAATGTAAATGTGAGCATTATGGACAATAAATACCTGATGTTTTTTTACATTTATACGCCGCTCAACCGATCCACTACACTCCAAGAGGTGAAAAGATTGAATAAACCAGGAAACATCACCAGAAATCTAAATATGTCGGTTAAAAGGGACACAATTACTGTTGCAAATGGTGGATACACCATTCCATGCATTCTCCGTATACACTCATCTAATCCAGGTAGGATAGATTCGTTTATTCAAAATTCAGACGCGCTACACACACGTAATTTCTTTTAAATATGTAGGATGAAAACTAATCAGATGCATGATATCATCATTTTACTGGTTTTATCTTTTTGCTTTTTTATAAGTTTCCTAATTCCTTCATTGCCATGTTGATTTCCACGCCGAGATTGGAATGGGTATTATTCTACAAGTCGGAGAATAAATCAGATGCCCAAACCACAGTATAATTTTCCGAATCGTTTTCCTAAATGTGGTAACTGGGAGTATACGTCTCCTAGAGGGGTAGAAACAGGGTGTCCTGTCAATAGTGCTGCGAGTCAACAACATGTTTTAATGACTGTATTGTTTGTAATTTATGTAACCTTGTTGTTGAAATATATATATATATATATATATATATATATATATATATATATATATATATATATATATATATATATATATATATATATATATATATATATATATATATATATATATATATATATATATATATATATATATATATATATATATATATATATATATATATATATATATATATATATATATATATATATATATACAAGACAGAAAATTATATCTTTTTTTAAAACTAATCACGTGTGTCTTTTTGATTTAGTATGCATGTACTTTTTAATCTTGATAATATTTACAGTTTAATTTTAACATATAAACATGGCGATTTATTTAGTGCAACAAATGCCTTTTATTTATTTTCTAGATGATCGTGTACCTTTAGCATCTTAGAGTTTCATCGTTTCTTTTACAAAATGTTTGTTGATTGTGTTTTTTTTTCTCATCTTAGTAAATATTCTGAGATAATCACACTGTAAACCAAATTATTTGTTATGAACCTCAAAGGCAGATACTGTGATTGTAATTGTCTGAACTTCAAATGTTTTATACGTGGAGGATAATGCTATCGGTTCAGCGATTAAATGTTACCTTATGATGAAGACTTTTTTATCAATAAAAAGAAAACGCTTGTAACATTATTGTTAAAGATATAACTTTTGAGACTACTCCTTTTGTCATACTATGTATTGTACTGTATGTGAACCCCGTATAATTGTTGTACTTCCGTTTTTTGATATTAATGCACATGTTGGTAGAACTCAGCGTTGTCGTCTTATTTTTCCACCCAAACCAAACAATTTTACAAAGCTATTAAACTCGAAATGTAAAATAACTTAAATGTGTTCATCATTTTCTGATGTCTTACGTGAAGATTTGTGATAAAAAAATCGTTTATTCTTAGTTATTAACTTTTGTTAGAACGAGAAAGTTCTGCGTACAAAAGTATGGTTTAATAAATTATACATTTATGTGAGTTTGAGATGTTTATCATATATCATTTCCCATAATTTACCTGAAACATTTCTAACTTTTAAAATAGTTGTTCTCTTCTTTTTCAACACTTTTGTTTGGCTACATTTTTAAACTGAAGTATGATCGATGAATTAAAGAATGAAAAAAAATGAGTTAAAAAAATTAATCGTGTATGATTAAAAAAATATAATTAAACCAAATAATTTATCAATTTATTCCATTTTAAAAACATTCTTGTAGACGCTTTTAGTATGTTAAATACTTTAGGAACCTTTCCAAAGTTAAGAATAGATGGTACCTTTTGGGAGTTGTCAA